CACTCTTGTAGGACACTCTTGTCGGACACTGTTGCGGGGCACTCTTGTGGGACACTCTTGTGGGACACTCTTGTAGGACACTCTTGTAGGACACTCTTGTGGGTCACTCTTATGGGACACTCTTGTCGGACACTCTTGTAGGAAACTCTTGTGGGATACTCTTGTGGGACACTCTTACCTTATAAGTCCTGTTACGGTACTTATACTTAAGACTTATAAGTAACATAAGTATACTTATGCTACTTATAGACCTTATCCAAATAAGTAGCACAAGTGCGACGGTAAGTAGAACATGGTGTGTTTTTGAAGGTTTTGATTCTTTCTGTCCGCATGTAAATTTCAACCAGATGCAGCCGCATATTTAAAAAAATATATATGGCTGGACTTGGCCGCGGAAGTCTGACTGGGGCCGTGTATATATAGAGATCTCTGCGGAGGTGTCGGAGACATAACACAAGCAACAAAAAAAACGCGCGGCGCGGCAGCCCCAAACCACCAAAAAAAAACACAATATTTGGGACGGTCTTCCCACAAATTTTTCACAAATGATTTCCTAATTTTTCAATCTTCCCACAATTTCCCTTATTAAAGGTAATTGGCAGGGTCTTTCCCACACTCTACCTCTCAAAAGTCTTCCCACAAATTCCCACAGTTTCCCACAATTCCGGGCACTCCGTTTTCTTGCGCCCAGTAAGTGCTCTATAGTGGCCCAATGAGCCCGATAGAGGCTTCCAGCTTATACACCTCAGAGACCAGCACACCCACAGCGCTCAAGGCGTACAAGATGTCGGTCGCCAGCTGTCGCGGTATATTTGTTTCCATGCCTCCCACAAATATGCTCCCACAGGCTATATTTGCTTGAGCCCAACTGCCAGGACAACCCTCAAAACCTCTATTCCCACAAGTAGGATAAGTAGAAAATAAGTAGAACATGTTTTTTCGTCATACTTACGTTCTACTTATAAGTATGCAACATTTTGAATATAACTAGCGCAACTATATAAATATGTACGATAAGATCCAAGCAAAATTTGTAGAACTTACAGCACTTATCATGGTTATTACTAAGATATAAGTCTAGTTGTCCCATTCATAACTAAGTTATAAGTATAAAAAACAAAAGGTAAGGGACACTCTTGTGAGACACTCTTGTAGGACGCTCTTGTAGGACACTCTTGTGGGTCACTCTTATGGGACACTCTTGTCGGACACTCTTGTAGGAAACTCTTGTGGGATACTCTTGTGGGACACTGTTAAGGGACACTCTTGTGACACACTCTTGTGGGACACTGGTGCGGGACACTCTTGTGAGACACTCTTGTGGGACACTCTTGTAGGACACTCTTGTGGGACACTCTTGTGGGACACTCTTGTGGGAGACTCTTGTAGGACACTCTTGTGGGTCACTCTTGTAGGACACTCTTGTGGGACACTCTTGTAGGTGGGTCACTCTTGTAGGAAGCTCTTGCGGGTCAC